CTTGTATTAGCGCCACCTGTTTAATCAGTAACAGTATTCACCATTACAGAGCCATTCTGCAAAATGTGCAATAATATTCAGACAATAAGAAACAATGCAATAAACAAATAATAAATAAATGGTTTGATACGCCATCATTCTTTGTTTACTTAGTGTACGTATCATTAATTGTGTGTATGTGTGTTTACTGCACATATATAGATGCACATGTCTACATTTAGACTAAAATAAAGAGAATTTTACTTAAAAATGCAGTACTTTTACTCGTAAAAGGAGTATTTTTACATTAGTGTATGGCTTCTTTTAGTTTAGTTTTGGGTCCCTGTAAAAAGAGGTTTTATTTAACACAATATAATCCGGTACACCTTCACCAGGGATCTGTATTAGACTGCATTATATTGTGTCCATATTGGTGTTTGAGCCTTTTAATTTAGCCATAACATGTTTTTCTATGTTATATGTTGATAGGTTTGTTTGGTTTGGAAAGCCGCCTGCATTATCTGTTGATATGGGCGAGTAAATATCAGATGCTGGTGATGGCTCTGAAAGACCTTATCAGTACTGTGGAGTTTTATTATCTTGGCCTGCTGACATTGGTTAAGCTGCATGTTTACTTTCCCTTGACAACCACTGGAGCTGGATTCATATCCTACTTATACTCACTACTTGAATGTTTTCCCAATAAGTTCAACATGAGTAAGAATAATGAAAGTTTTCCAGACCTCTTTTACATTTAAACCCCGAGCAGCTTTGATGTCGCGCAGATTGAAACATTGTTTTTGTGTGACTGTGTTTGACTTCAGAGTGTGGACTGACGAGAGTATTACAGGACTTACATCTGTAGTCTGAAACCTGTTTGTAGACAGTCAATAGGCAGACTTCTAAGAAGTGAAGTGGAAGTGAAATTGTGTTATTTGTCATTTTGCAGAGTCCTTTGGAAGTCCCCAAACTCCCCCAGTGATCAGATATTTTATTATGTGCAGATTCAAACACGTACAGCTGTCAAGGTGAAAAATAGATTAAACTGGGATGAATGTTTGTTTTTAGACATTTAGATTACATATTTTACATTTAAAGTCAGTTTAACTGCAGGTTGCTCCTCTAAAAACCTGCAAAGCTATACCGTCCCTAAAACAAAACATTCTGTACGAATTGATAGGATAAATGTCGAAAATATTTCAACATTTTACAGGATTTTAATATAAAATCTATATTTTAAACATAAATTTGACCAATAAGAGATAAAAACCTGCACCGGATTGGAGCTTTAACATTTTATTCTGATCCTAATTATGTTAGTTACTTTATAGTTACTGAAGCATTATTAAATTTAACCTATAATGTCTAAACAAACATCACTTTTCGACAAAAAGTTGGCCTATTTTCACTTACCAATTAGTAAAACAGCACTTGGATCATTTAGGAAACCGCAGTGTAAACAATGTAAACAGTGTAAACAAGGCCAACCACAGCTATTGTACTCTCACTGATATGTTATTAGCTGCTGATTATATAAAACACATAAGTGGAAGTAACACTTTGTCCTTGACGTTAACTTTAATTGCTTGTAATGTTTATGTTTATTGTGCTTACTGTACCATAAATCCCTCTACTCTCTCAGGCCTGGTTGTAAATCTCACACAGGCTCAACGACGCGCTCGCACCAAAAAATGAGAACGACGGATGTGAATGATTAACATTTACAACTGCTGACCAGAGGAATTTGTTTGGTCAAGTTTGGTTTGTTGTTGCACGTGTTCACAAAACCACCTGTGTTTGGAGAATTAGTGATCTATTAACTCCGGCTGCTTGCTCCCTTCATCAGTTTTAAAAACCCTTACGTACGACTAACACTTGTACAGAGCGAGAGTGTATTCATTTACCAGATTCAGCTCTCTGGTCAGAGTTCAGGCCTCTGTGGAACGGTTCACTCTTGGCAGGACACCGAGATCTTTAAGAGCTTTCAGCCCATCAGAAGTATTTTAATAACCGAACAGTGAAACACAGTTTGAGTATTTCATCTCAGAAACAGAGATCCGTTTAGAATATCTGTTCTGTAGTTTGTGTCGGTGTCTCAGTTTGCATGCTGCTCTCTTTAAAGGATGAAAATCTTTTGAATTTAATCTATAATGTAAAGTATTTCTGCACAATTATAACTTCTATATAGACACATTTCCTATATTACAAATATATTCTTCTATATTGTCATCCATCTGTTTTTATAAGGGTGCCCAGAGGAGTTATACAGTAGTTGTAATAATACAATTAATTCACACATATCTGCGACTATAATGTGTTATAAGTCTTATTAAATGTTTATATATTATTATTTCTTGTATCTGAACAGGGACAGTGCACAATAAAACATTAACCCTGTATTTAACAAGGGAGAGATGCTTGCACCGGGTTTTATCAAATTGCTATTTTCCACCCTGGGCAGGTAAATTCCTACGACGTCAGAAGACTAAAAAAAGGGTTGAAGTGTTATCAAATAAGATCATCGACATTAAAAAGTGATTGCTCGTTATCTGTCCAGCAGCTTTACATGTGGAACACACGCTTTAATTAAAGTAACAACAATAAGTAAATAAATAAATAAATAAACTAAATAAAGGAGGCAGACTTCCTCTCCATTGTGTTCCTTATTACCATATTTGCAGAGATACTTAATCAGGAAGCAAAAAAATACCAGACAATAAAGTACTAAAAATCTGAGATACAAATAACCCCCCAACACAAACCACCGGAGGCCCCACCACCTCTTCCTCCTCTCCTCCTCCTCCTCCTCTTTCCTCCCACCGTCGTCTCTGTGGTTTATGTGGCGTATCGCTTCGTCCACTGTTTGGCTGTTCGGTCATGCTCCCACTCTGTTGGTGTGTACCTGGGGTGGCGATGCTTCCCACCAGAGGGTCGGCTGGACGGGACAAATAAAAAGTCACATTTATCTGCACGTAGAAAATAAACACACACAGAGAGGAAGACGACACTAAAAGGGAGGCTGGTGAACAATTTCTGCACCAGACATCATTTTTGTTTAGTTGAAGGATCACCTGGCTCTTATCATTCGATCTTATCAAGTCATTTTAGGAACACGACACAAACAAGTGGAGCTTTTTGTCGTGCTTGGCCAGAACATTTCCTGAAATCTAAGTAGTAAGTAAAGTCAAATGTTTTGTTCATGAGCAGAATCAGACAGTTGACTGCTGTCGTGATCTTTTGGTAAAGAACAAATCAAGTGTGACAAACGAACTTTTGTCTGTGGTCACGAGCGTTGGCTGAAATGCAAAAAAAACTCCCACGTCTGCTTTCGCTTTAAGTACGTTCATTAAATAGAAGAGGACGTCCAGATGACGCTGGGTTTCCTGTCAAGGTGGTCACATTTAACAGCATTTACACAGTTTCAGATTCCTGGTAATCTGTAAAACCATGGAAAATGTTGAGGGAGAATCTAATGAGCTTAAAAAGGTGATTCAAAGCAGTCTGAGTAATGAGTTGTTTTTTCTCCTGTCTGGATAAATACCCGATATGACATTAAAAGGTAGAGCGACGTGGCCGTTAATTATCTCCGATCACATCGTGTTTGATTGAGCAGGTCTGTCAGTGTGAGGTGTACTCAGCCGTCTCACCTGGGTTACAGTCTGTGAGCAGGGAGCAGATGGACAGCAGCACCTTGGAGATGGTGAGGGCGGGGCTCCAGTTGTCCTTCAGGATGTCCAGACAGATCACCCCCTGACTGTTGATGTTGCAGTGATAGATCCTCGTACGAAACGTCACCTGCAGACACAGAAAGAGTGCTCGGTTCCTGCTGTAATCACTAAACAGTCAATAACCCCAAAACATGGAGAGAGAGGTTACATATTGTTGACGGTCATGTTTTTGAGGATATTTATGTTTTTAAGCTTTAAATATTCATTTTACTACACAAAAAGTCTCATCAAGGCAAACTGATAGTTAAAGTAATGACACATCTCAACTAAAAGGTTAATGTTATAATAATAATATTAAAAATATGATCTTATTGATATATACACACAAACATTACAGTCAGACCTGCAGTATTAAACCTGCATTCACTGCTTTACAAGCCCTCTGGTGGTTGAACACAGGTACTTCTACAGGCCAGGAAACATCACTGAGCTGTGACGTCTCACAAAAACATTACAGAGAACTAGAGACGTCTCCTTAAGGTCGTCGGCGCACTGAGCAAGAGCGAAAGCAACTTACAGTAAACGTTCTGATCGAAACACTGAAAACTGGTTTATTTTGGAACAAGTTGGCGGTGGAATCGTAACGTTTGCCTCACTGACTGCAGACGCACACATTCAGCCTTCAGCAGAGGCAACATGTCACACACAGCTTTGATTCTCACACAAAAGTGGCTTGTGTGGGTATTTATTTTAATCCTGGGTTCACCTTTGTCTGTTTAACTTCACAAGGCTATTTCCTGCTGCAGTAAACCAAAGTTTCGATTCTCTCTCACTCACACACACAAAACAAATATAATATATATATCTAAAAGAGTTTGCTTTAGCTAAAAACCAAACAGAATTAAAACCCCAATAGAAAAATAGACAGTTGAATGGTTCTCCATCTACTCATGTCTAAATACTGCAGAAATACAGTATACTGAATCTAATACTACTGTTGTATTATATATATATATAATATTGGATCTGCAGTTTGTTTGTACTGTTATGAAGGAAACACAGACCACACTGACGTCTGATGAGCGACTTTATGTGACTTTATGTGACTTTATGTATTTAATACGCCCGTCTGGAAAATGTTCATCAGGACCGACAACTTTCACTGCTGCACAGAGAGCTGCACTGTTGAAGTGACGATCCCGGGACTCTGCTCGTTAACGTGCCGCTGTGCTGCGAGTGAGCCGAGCCTCGGGGGGGAAAGTGAGATGAAAAATAAATTGTGATATTAAGGCGCAAAAGACGTCGGTTTCACTTCGCAACAGGAAATTTGGATTGTTTTGCACAGTTTATCCCCAACCTAATAAATAAGGATTGAATCATTTGATTAGGAAAATATATTTGGGAGAGAGAAAATCTCATAATTTGTCTACAAAACTGTACTGAACCACTTTCTGTTCTGCACCAACACCTCAGACAAATACAGATTACCTGACACAAGCTCCATTTTTACTCAAGAGGTGCATTATTTCAGTTTTTAAAGCTTTTCCTCGGTGCTGTGGAGCTCCACTGTTCTTCATTCAGCCTCATTGTTCCACTGGGGTGACGCATTTCTTCATTACCACGAACACAAGAGCTGTAGTTTATTTTGAGTCGGTCTCACATTCACCATCCTGCTGCTACAAATAAAGCTGTGGCTTAAAATAGTCCCCAACAAATACTCAGAAATAACAATCAACTCCTGTTTTGAGAGACGGTAACTGGAAACTGCACTGCACCCTTTTAGGGAATTATTTAGCCTGTTTTTTTTAGAGGTGAAAGTATATATTTGTTTCACTTTTAGGAACCAATGGGCTTAAAGACAGGGTAGGGAAGTCTTTAAGGATACAGAAACAAGGCACATTATTGTTTTTCTTCATGGTATTTGACAAAAAGATACAGAAAAACCACCAGACTTGTCCTTTAAGTATGTAATCTAAAACAAAAACATCTGTGGCAGCAGAGCAAATACTCCCCCATACCAGATCTCTACTTTCATTCACAGTATGAGTCAGAAAAATGTTGCGTTTAAGAATTTCTGTGTAATATAGTTCAATCTGTGAACAGCTGTAAAGTGTCTTATCGTTCAGATCCGAGAGAGGAACCTTGAGTTGGTATCTGCACGCAGGCTTTGAGTTCTGACATATACTGTATGTTCCTGCATGCTGTATAACATCAGTACCTTGGGGGGTTTGAAGGGGTAGTCGGGCGTGAAGGCGATGTCCAGGAAGAAGACGCCTCCCTCGTACACGGAGCCCGGTGGTCCCAGGATGGTCGACCTCCACTCATAGATGTTGTCTCCTTTGGGGCCAGCACTGCAGGCGGGGAAACAAACACGCAACACTGAGTAACTAACTAAAAAAACCTTCACATCATCTTGGATGTCAGTATAAATGTAATGCATTTCCATTTTTTCCCCAAAAACACTGCGTTTTAATCCGATACAGCGCACCGCGTTTCATATTTGACACTTCAGAGAATCAATGTTTGTCGTTTTCACCAGTAACGCTGAGGAAGAAAACATTATGAAGTACATCTCGCCTTCAGACACGCAGCAAAATAACGGCACAAAGCAAATACAACATCACAAATAAAGACACAATATGCGAGTGCAGGTTATAAACTTCTGCTGCCTCAAACAGACGCAACTGGATGTACATCAACGGAGCAGCCGACGCAGCGCGCACTGCAGCACGACATCACACATTCATTCATGTAGTGTGTAAAACAACTGAAGCTTACTGGCAGCAGACTGAAGCACGTGGGCGTTTTCTTTCTTCAGTGAGGACTTAAACTAAAATGGACTATGACTCCTGCCTTCCAGTCAATATCTGCACAACATGGTGTCACAAAAGGAAATTACACCAAACTGACGCCAGGGCCGTGGACGCTGTATTAAACTTTTCCATTATGTCTGAAATCCTGGAACTGTCCGCTTCGATGGATGAAAGCCAAATGTAACTTAATGAACTCAATCTGAATATAAAATGCTAATACATTTCTGCGTTCGCGGATTAGCGGCCATAAAAATGTCGGTATATTCTCCCTTTAAATGTCGAGCGATGAAAGTTTCCCCCCCTGTGCATCGTTCAGAAGACGCCTCGGTTCAAAGCCAGTCCCCAGTGATGTGTCTACGCGTCATGATCTGTAATCTGTATTGATTTTCCCTCAAAGCAGCAGAGGCTTTATCCCTCGTACATGCAGAACATGCGG